AGTACCTTCTGTGACTGATAGACTAGACATTAACTATAAGAAAACATGAAAAGTTATGAACACGTGAAGATAGAACAACATGCTGCTTAATAAGAAATTGTATAAAAGAAAGATCAAAGCGGAAATTGAATAATATTGGTACCTTGAGACAATTGAAAATGGTGATGCAAGTTACCAGAATTTGTAGCACTTCATAAGGATTATACACCATCAATCAAGTGGGAGTTACCACAGGGCTCTAAGGATAATATATAGGCAGTTAGTGTAATACATCATATGAACATAAGATAAATATGCATGTGATCATATCAATAGTGCAGGGAAAACATTTGCTAAGATTCAGGACCCACTCATGATAAAAACTCTGAATAGGATGGAAATAATAGGAACCTGATAGTAGAATATAACAAAAGCCAACAGCCAGTGAAATACTCAATGGGGAAAAAAACTGAAAGATTTCCCCCTAAGTCAGAAACTAAGACAAGGATGTCTAAGGCAAAGATGTTTAACTTACTAATTGTGTCTTTGGCCAGAGCTATCAGAGACAAGTGCATGAAGTAAAGAGAATCTAAGTAAGAAAAGGAGGAGTGAAAATATTGCTACTTGTAGTTGATATATTATATATAGAAGGTGCTAAATATTTCATCAAAAAGTTATTAGGAAAAAATAAAGCAAAGTGGTAGGCTACAATATCAACATACCAATAACATACACAAATAATAAGAGCAAAAGAAAGTTTAAAAATAACTTCATTTACAAATACTTCAAAAGGAATAAAATACCTCGGAATCAACCTAATGAAGTAGCAAAGAGACCTATACAAGAGAACTGAGGTGCTGCTAAAGAACTTAGTGACATGGGAGAAGAAAGGGGTTCCATGCACATGGGTGGGGAAAATCAATACAATCAAAATGACTGTCCTGCCTAAAATAAATTCAGTGTGATCTTCATCAAAATACTAGCAATACTTTTCAGAGAAATTGAAAAAAAAAGTGAAATTTATATGAAACCACCCAAATCCTTGAATTACAAAAACAGTCCTGAGAAAAAAGAGAAACAAATATACCAAGTTACCAGACTTAAATTTTTTGGCACAAAAATAGATGTATGGTTAATGGAACAGAATCAAAGTCTGGAAACAAATCCATGTACATACCAGCACCTAACCTATGATAAAACAGCTATGACCATAAAATGAGAAAAAGACTGTACTAACTGGTGTTGAAAAGTTAGAAAGCTACATAATACGAAGTTGGTTAACCCCATACACAAAATAAAATGCAAATGGATTAAAGATTTAGATATAAAACCTGTAATAACAAGATACATAGAAGAAAATATCGATATCAAGAATAATAATAATCAAAGATATCAAGATATCTTTGGTGACTCAACCCCTATGGCAAAAGAATAAAAACAAAAATAAACAATTGGGATTACCTGAAGTTAAGGAGGTTCTATACAGCAAAAGAAAGTACAATATGATTTTTGAAATACTCTAGTGAATGGGAGAAAACATTTTCACATTATGTAACTGATAAAGGATTATATAACAATATCTCATATATTCAACAATAACAAAAATAAAATAAGATCAGTTAATAAATGAGCAGTTGATATGAACAGACAGTTCACCAAAGAGGATATTCAGATGGCCAAAAGACAAATGAAAAAATGTTTACTATCACTTCTTACTAGAGAGATGGAGATTAAAACTACAATACGATAACACTTCAGTAAGATGTCACATAAAAGCCCCCCAACAACTAGTATTGGAAAGGATTCAGAGAAAAAGAAATCCTGTTAACTGTTGACTGTAAACAAGTATAACAACCATATGAAAGCAATCAGATGGACCTGCAAATCTGAGAGTGGAGATACTGTGTGCCTCAGTAATGTGCTTGGGTACATAGCCTCAGATAAGAACCATCAAAACAAAACCCACTGTGTTCCACAATGTTCACAGCCTTATCTCCCATAGCTAAAACATAGAAGCAGCCTAAATGTCCATCAATGGACAATTGGACCTAAAAAGTGGTGTCTCCACACTATGGGATGTAACAACCAGAAGGATGAAATTCAGCTACTTTCAACAAATGTCACCAGCATCTCCTGTGGTACATAAGTGACAGCCTCAAACTTACATAAATCATCTCATCTTGATGATTTCTGAATACACAAACACTGTCTGGCTCCTCTACTGGCCATTGGACTTCTAATCAGATAATCCTGGGCATAATTCAATTGAGCACTCCGAAGTGTGTGATTTCTTCAACAGCTTCCAGTCTCAAGCTCTGTAAAAGCCAGGCATGCCCCACACGTGAATGAGGGCCACTTAGTACCCTGGGGCCCCTGGGGCCTGTTGCATGGCAAAGATTACCTTTCCCTGTGGGCATCCGGATCCATAAGATAAATCTGGTAGTACTCAAGAGTGGGCAAGGACAAAGATGTTCAGTATATGGACATTCTGGACATTCAACCTGTGTTAAATCATGGTTCTGTAATTAACTGGTGGGGTCATTTTGGGCTGAACATTTACCTCTCTCGTGTCTCCATTTTCTCTTGTACAAGCAGAGACCATGTTAGCATCATGGTCTAACATACCTAATGTCAGGGAAATGTGTGTTCCTGGCACCCAGGAATTGCTGTATCAGGGTGGACTATTGCCTTTATTTATTACATTCTTAATATAAAAAGATCTGATTATAAAAAAAGTTTTCTTTTTTTTCTTTTGCAGCAAAAATTATGTTATTCCTTTGCAGTGCAGCTGTCCTGTAGATTTTGAATTTCATATCACTTTGATTCAATCTCATCAAGCCTTTATTGTTGAACCAACATCAGGTAAGGAGTGCCAGTTTTTCACGTTTCCAATTTCCTTAGGGTTCTTAGATCAAAAAAAATTGAGAGTATGCCTCAAGTTGCAAAGGAGAATAAACTATACTTCAACATTTTCATTTTCAAATTTGTGTCCATGACATATTGTAAATATCTGACATCATATAAATTGGAATTGGGAATAAGGACACTTTGTAATAATCTGCATCATGCAGATAATTTATAACAATGTCGAGGTAACTTTCTTCCAAAGTCAAAACTTGAAATCAGAAGTCAACCCATTCTCATTCTAATTTTGGTTCTTGGTGGCATGTACTTGATTTGGTGTTCACCTTTTAATTCAATGTCAAACCAAATTGGAATATTATTTCTTGCTGAGCCTTCTGACTCTTAGTGAAGGGTCTCAGGAATTCACCGTGTGGACAGTCTGTCTGTGTATGTCCCAAAAGAGCAATAGGCCAGCCCTGCTCAGGAACTTTGAAAATAAAATCACCACCAGAGGTGATTTCTGCCTCCTACTGTCTGTCCCTTGTTGCTTAGGTTTGGGATTTAAATATCTATCCACAGTGGTCTTCTATGAATGCTGAAAATACTATTTTTTTTCAACTTTTTGATGTGAAATTGACATATAAATTATAATACTTAGAGTGGAAAGCCTAATGATTTATCATCTGCATAAGTTGTGAAAGAATTCCCCCAATGAATTAGCTAACACTTCCAATACTTCTCCTAGTTACTTTTTTTTTTAAAAGATTTATTTATTCATACAGAATTGGGGTACAGGCCAGAGATGCGGAGGGTGAGAGGATTCACCAGAGCCAGAGCGGGGAGCAGAACAGGCAGATCGACGAAGTACACTGCTGAGGGGAGCAGCAGGCCGGTCAGGAGAGGTCTGCCGCGCCATGTGGATCTCCTCCCAGGCAGGCGGGGATTGAACTCTTGTGGAAGTGGCTTTAGTTTCTTAGTGCAGTGCTTTAACCCGCTGCACCACCAGGGAGGGCCCCACTTTTTTATTATTGAGAACATTTAAGTTTACTTTAAGGCAGCTTTTGGTTACACAACACAGTGCAATCACCTATAACATTGTGTTTTACATCAGGGTCTTAGACGTTGTTCATCTTATAGGTGAATGTTTGTACCCACTGACCAACTCTCCCTTTGCCCAGCTTCTGGTGACCACATTTCTACTCTCTTTTCTGAGTTCAACATTTCCCCCCTACATTCCAAACCTAACCAATGCCAGGCAATATTTGTCTTTCTCTTACTGACTATTCCAGTTATAGTTCCCTGCAGGTTATACATCTTGTTGAAATGAGGGTATTTCCTTCTTTTAAAAGGCCAAATAATTATCCATTGTATACAGTCATGCATTGCATAACAGTGTTAAGTCAATGACTGACCACATATGCAACAGACTAAATCACATAGTCCAGGCTTGTGTGATTATACTCCCTGATGCTTGCACATCAAAATCATCTAAATGTTGCATTTCTCAGAACCTCTCCCTGCCCTTAAGCATGAGTGACAGTGTGTATACTACATTTCTCCTTTAATCTATTTACATTTGGGTGGCTTCCATACCATGGCTATTAAGAGTAATAATAGTGTAGTAAACATGAGAATATAGCTGTCTCTTCAAGGTAATGACTTCATTTCCTTTTGCTATATTTCCAAAAATGGGATCATTGATTCATTGGTAAGTCTGTTTTAAATATTTTGAGACCCTTACACTGTTTTTCAGAGTGACTATACCAATTTATATTTCCACCAACTGTGGAGGCCAGGGTTCCTTTCCTGCACATCCTCACTATCACTTGCTCTCTCTTATCTTTTTTGACAGTAGATATCATAATAGGTGTGAGATGATATCTCACTGTCATTTGATTTACATTCCCTGATGTTCATGTAAAACACATTCTTATGTACTGATTGGCCATTTGTATGTCTTCTTTCAGAAAAAGTCTATTCAGATCCTTTGTCCATTTTCTAGTTATTAGTGCTAGTTTTTTGCTATCAAGTTTTATGAGATTCTTATATAACTCAAATATTGAGTTATATGGTTATATGTGGTTATATGTGGTTTACAAACATTTTCTCCCATTCCACAGGTTGCATTTTGTTGATTTTGTTGATGGTTTTGCTGTAAGAAGCATTTTAGTTTGATGTAATCCCACATGCTTATTTTTGCTTTTGCCACCTCTGATTCTGGCGTCAAATAAAAATATATATATATTGCCAAGACTAAGTCAAAGAGCTTTTTCCCTGTTTTCTTATAGAAGTTTTATGGTTTCAGGATTCTCATGTTCTAGTATTTAATACAGATTGAATTGGGTTTTGTGTATAGTGTAAGATAGTAGTTCAGTTTCATTCTTTTCCATGTGACTGTTCAGTTTATGTCTGTTTTTTCTACCAATACCATACTGTTTTCATTGCTGTAGTTTTTTAATACAATTAGAAACCAGAACATGTGTGCCTCCCTGGTGACCCAGGGGTTAAATCTCAACACTGTCACTGCAACAGCCTGATTTTGGTCCCTGGCAGGGAGCAGACCCACACATGGTGCAGCAAACCTCTCCTGTCTCACGGCTGCTCCCCCAGCAGTGTATTTCAGTAAATCTGCCTGCTTGGCACCCCATTCTGTCTCTGGTGAATTCACTCATTCCCCACACTTCTTCTGTGCAAAAATAAATAAATAAAAAATCTTTAAAAAATAAAGAAACCAGAAAGTGTGAAGCATCTAGTTTAGGTAGGTCTCAGAAGCAGAAAAAGACACTGTAGTCAAGCTAATTGTTGCCATAATAAGAAGCATTGTGGTGTGGAAGGGATGGACTTGTGCTATGTGTCCCAAAGGTTAGAATTAGAACCAGTTAATTGTCAGAGGCACCCAGAGATGAATTTGGTGCTTACTGAATAACTAGAGTACCCTGGGTTAAGACCAGTGGGAGGCCCTCCCTGGTGGCGCAGCAGGTTGGGTTACAGCACTGAGAGGCTGAAGCCACTTCTGCATGAGTTCGATTCCCGCCTGCCCCGGAGGTGACCACATGGCGTGGCAGACCTCTCCTGACCCGCC